TGTTATCGGTAAACTTCCTCTGACTGGGGGTTTGCTCTTCAGGGACGTATCCAAGAGGTTCAGCACATGCTACGACAGTGAACTGTAGCATTGGGCTGGTAGCGGTAGAGTGTTACGAGCGGGCGAGTTAAGTTGCATCACTGTACAGCCTTGGCTGGGGCCATGGGCTTCCGAGGGGTCTCAAGTGCTCAAACGTGTTATCGGTAGGTTATCGGTAGCGTTATCGGTTAAAATCATCACCGGGAAAGAAAAAATTCTCTGACCGAGCTACTCATCAAGGAATTGTTCTTATCGGTAATTTTCCTCCGGCTATCGGTAAAGACTTTTTATGAAAGGGACAAAAACTTAAGGGGCCCACCAATTCTAAGCGAACAGGCGCGGGGTTATTTTACCGTCCCAACTGACTTTAATAGAGTTTAAGGGTTTCACTAGACTTTGAATAGGTTTCATTGAACTGAATTCGATTTCGAAAGGTTTTACTTGAATCTTAATTTATTTAAAGTAGATTTCCTAATTAGAGTGTAATTGAATTTCCTTTGATTTGAGGATTAGGGGCGTTTTCCTTTTAACTTGATGTTTAGCACGTTTAATTAGACTTTAGTCGGCTTTGGATAGACTTCCAATGAGTTTATCAAGGTTTTGCATAGATTTGAATGCCTATGGTAGTGCCAGTGCTGTTCAAGGCTACTACCGAGATTCATGTTTTTATTGATATTAATTGCGCGGCAAACTGCGCGCGTGGTCCCTCATAAAGGAGAATAGGCAATTGTTGAGGGGGGATACAAAAGATTAGATACGATTCTGATGCCGAGCTTATGGCATGTGACGCCCCAAGCTTTTTAAGTTCTTACAGCTTGCTCATGGATGGCCACCCATCCACTGCAACAAGCTACTTCTATCGATGCGAATTGATGCGCGATGGTCTTGACTCTGCAATCGAATCAAACATTCATTTACATTACAACAACGTGAGCTTGGTCTAACAACTACTGTGCAAGCAAAGAGCTGCCCAGCGCGAGCAAAGAGGATGCCACGGTCACAGTCTGGTCGCCGTGTCCCTGGACACTGCTTGCGTTCCCAATGACCGCTATGTTACGCGTGCCTCTAAACTCAAGCATTACTGAACAAGTGACCATTTACGAAATTGGCGTAGATGCCAATAGTTTGCGAGGCCAAGAGTGCAAGTGCCGCAGTGTCTACCATGGATAGCAAAATATCGCAGTGAGTAAGTGAAGTGAAGCTGTGCGTGAGAGCGCATGGCGTAGCGACATGGATCGCCGGCCACACTTGAAAGTAAGTTTGACCAGCCTCACTTGTTGAAGCCATCTGCTTGACGAGCATGGCCCTTTCGAAGCCTGAGCACAGGCTGGCTTGGCCCCCCAGATACTGCTCGCTACGTAGTCGGTTTGCGTTGGATGCGCGACTCTTGCAGGTTGAACAAATGCGGCAGGCGATGATTTCTTGCCCGAACTTGTTGCCCGTGCCAGCGCAAACTCATTCTTGAACCTGTCGTACTCCATACAAAACCAGTTCTAGGCAAGCTCTTCAAGCTGTGCCAGATTTCTATGCGAGCTGGCACGCGCAATGGTTCTTTGCAAGGGTCCGCGGGAAGGCATTCCCTGAGGCTCATGTGCTATGTAGCTTTTGCTGAATCTGTTTGAAGATTAGAGGCTCTTGTGCATTGGTACAGGTTGGCGGTCAAGGCCTCACAAATGTCCCCAGCCCGCCCCAGGACCCTGCGCTTCAGGTTTTCCAAGCTTATGAAAGTCTTGGTCGGTCGGACAGGCCTCATGTGCTCGCGGAGAGGACGTTAGATATGTGAAATGGACACACCACGGGACGCTGCTTTCTCGGAGTACCAAGTGAACTGCAGAACAAGACCTCAAAGATCCTCAGCGCTTCGCGTGTTGTGAAGCCAAGCTGCACTTGATTGCCGTTGCAAATGAACGCATCCGGAGGTGACATGCCTGGCAGGAGGTCAGGAAAATCAACGGCTTTAAGCAAGCTGTCGCAGCAGCAGCGAAGGCAACAACGAAATCTTGCAAAAAAAACTACCCAGCACACAGACTCTCACACGCACGCCTTGTCCTAGACGTCCTAGAGCATCCCGCTTGATGGCGTCAGCGTTGCAATCCACAAACTCGCTTCAATATATGAGCCGTGCAGTGTCTTCTTCATGTTCATCCGATTGTCCTTCTCCTTTTGTGATTCATGACATGCATTAGTTTGGTGTTGCACCCTGTTCGTTGAAGAGGCCCTCTCTGATGTGTTTTGGGGCCGCCTGACGCAGGATCAGGCTCCCTGCAATCTGTGTTTCTGGGCCCTAAAGAAATTGGAAGATGGTCAATCCCGTGTTTTTGAAGGAAGGCACGCGTTTTAAAATCCTATTTCCAAACCAACACTCTGAGCCTTCGATCCAAAACCCGCAAACCAAATCTTGAGCCTTCATATTTTTGGGCCTAATGATGTGGGGAAACGGGCGAGCCCAGCAGGCCTCCGGATTCTGCATGAGGCCACTTTTCGGAGGCCCGCATGAATCTGTCAGACCATTCATCCCTGAATCAGTCTCCAAAGCCCTCAGAACCGCGGGAGGCTCTAAAGGAGCTCTTGAATAGTTTGGTGACTCCATACCATACAGTCCATACAGCTTTGGCACAGAATGCCGCGCAAGCAAATCAGCAATGGTTGCAGCCAGTAGCAAACGCGCGCTGTAACATAATCAAGAACTTGACCGATGCAAAGCATAACTGCAGCCTGCCCCAGCATGTCTAAATTAGTCAGTCCGAAGCAAGCGGAACAAGGTAAGGGAAAGAGACACAAGGGAATCCTTGAGACGCAATGCTTGCCATGCCCTCCGCATACTCGCAGATTTGGCCTATGTAGCATGAGCAACCTCTCCTCCAGCCCTATCGGACTTGAGGATGCCATGCTTTAGGGAAGCTTTGACTTACTCTGTTACAGGCTGTCGGAAACCAGCCGTGCGAGCTCCAAGAAGGTGCAGCGCATCACCCATCTCTGCAGGCGGTGGGCGTATCCTGGCTTCAAAGTTTACAACATCGGGTGCTTCTACCCATCACTGCGCTTTGGACTCAGCCATGATTAGCAACACGACAACTTAGGCCAAACTTGGGATGCAGCAAGAGAGGCTCAGGGGAAGTGAGCTTCAAATCTTTGTTGGGGAGCAGAACCCCGGGCAGAGTGCTTGAAATGAAGGAGTGTTCTGCAGCCTTAAACGTTTTGACAGTGACAGTGTGCATGTGACGCCCTGCACTGAGTCACCGAGGCTGTTGCGCATCAGCTAGCTTCAAGGCTTTCTCACCTGGGCAGTCGGCTGCTACAGTAGCTGAGAAAGCTGCAGGTAGAAATCTGCCATGACGCTGCCGCACTTACTCAGCACCTGAAATGCGGTCCTTCCACAGCCAAGGCTGAAATAGCGTGAAAGTGCATCGACATTCCCCGCCACATGCTGCTACAGGAAGCGGCAACCTCAATCGTGGAACGCCTTTACAGACCAGGAAACGCAAACCCTGCAAGCGAGCGAAGCCGTGCGCCAGACAGGCGTCGCGCGCTTTGGCTTCGTCGCCTTTGGAAAACCAAGCCTGCGAAGGCACCACATCATCCGCGACTGCCCCGTAGTGAGGTTTTGGAGGCATCAGACTGTTTGACTTTATTGCCTGAACGGTAGGATGAACTCTTGACGGTTGTAGCTTCAGGCGTCAAGCTGTCAGGGGACTAGGGTTTTGTTGAGGGTGGCAGCTGAATGTGGACTGGACATACACAGGGTATGCACCAAAGTACTGGGAGTCAAACCTGGCGGAGTCCATGTCGCGATCGCCCTGAAGAATTTATCACATGCTAGAAACCCGCTACAATGTGGACTGAAGCTTTCTAGGGCACACCTGCGACCCAGCTTGACTCAGACCTTCATGGAATTGCCTTCGCGGCTTCGTAGAAATTGGAAATGGAGCTCTTTGCAGTTTGTTTGAACCTTCACCGGGCTTTTGTTCCATCCATGGACACGACACAGAGTCATTGGGGACTTATGTATCTCAGTCTTGATGTTTTCAGCACTCTGTCCCTTGATCTTCTCATAATGGCCCAAATGCCTCACGAGCAGTCACTGACTTCCTTGATGCCTGTGATGACATGGCTTTAAGGATGCCCTCTGGTGCCGAAGCTGATCCCTGCAAGACTAATGAAGGTCAGGCACAGAGTTAAGCTTGAGTCATTGAGCTCTAGCGAGTTAATTTTCATAAGAACCAATTGTTTGTTGAGCCCGAGAGACATGATGCAATACATGCACATAAATATGTATATATATATATATGTATACATATTTCTTATACAGTGTCACGTGTTCCATGTTTTAGGGATGCCTGCTACAGTACTAGATGGGTTTTGGTGGTCAAGCTTTCAGCTGCTGCGCATGGAATATCAGAGCAAACAAGGATTTTTTTTCGCGCAGTCTGCTGTGGGCAGCACAGCCTGACAGGAAAATGAATGCAGTATACATCTACACTGCTTGGCCTCTTCCATACAATTTTGCCGCAGGCGCGGCAGGAGGCCACTCTTTTCCGGGGGCTAGCTGCCCTTTTTCGGTAAGTTGTGGGAGCGGCGGGCCCGCAGCACAAGACAGAGTTTTCTGCCACCGGCGTCGATCGCAGGGGTGTGGGATATTTCCATTCAGAAGACAGTACCCATTGCTGATATACACGCAGCACAAGACAGAGTTTTCTACCACCGATGACTGTTTGTGCGCCGTCTTCAGCCCAGTGTGCGTCAACAGTCATGTCCAAGAAGTTCCAAGACGCTCCAACCAGAGGCTTGAATGAAAACCTAAGAAGACCCCGGGCCCCACACAATCAATTTGATAACGAAGCCCAGAGAAGTGAACGCAAATAACAAGTTTCAAAAAGCAGGCACTGAAGAACCCAGGATATGAGATACATGTATATCATGTGCACCTTTTCTTTTGCCCGGGATGGCATGTATGCGCTGCGTCGGTTTCTTCGATCACAGGTGCAATTACTGGCACACCATCCTGGATGAGTAATTACAGACATTGCTACATGCGATTTTGCGCACCGATAATCCCGCATCAACTCTGTAACCATTGTAGCGTGCGCCTCCCGCTTTAGGATTGTTTTGGGGGCCTTCCTGGAATCTGGCAATGTGCTCTAGCTCTAGCTCTCTAGGCAAGGCGAAGCAGGGCGTGTGTACCAGTCGGGGAGTTCCCACTCTGCCGATCAGCCTCTCCGAGGTTCTGGGCATAGGAATTCTGAAGAATGCATAGCACACACGAACAGGTGCAATGGAAATTGTAGGACATTGCTTTGGCTCTGGTATGTCGCCGTTGGGACAATCAACAATTTGCAGCTATCCTGTAAATCAACAGAGGATTTCTGACCTGCGCGGCTGCCACTTCTGGAGCCATGAATCTAAGAGAATCATTGTGCAGACCTAGCCCGGTCTGGCGCAACCTCTGCGAGACAATGCCATTACTTGTAATACTAGGTCAAAAACCAATCAGAGAATCAGTAATTAGTGGCAACAGTTTCTCCATGTGTTTTCCCATGAGCAGGCCGAGCTCCCGATGCTGCGCGGTAACAGGAAACACCCACAAACTGCACGCGCTTCCTCCTCCTCCTCCTCCTCCTCCTCCTCCTGAACCATGGTGGTTTTGCTTTTGCTGCTTCCAACACCGCTGCCAACGTTATGAGCACCAGAAGCATCAGAAGCAACAAAGGCACCAGGAGCAGCGCTGGCAACAGCACTGCAGCCATTGCCGCCGCCCTCGCCACCGCCACCACGCCACCGCCACCACGCCACCGTACCACCATACCACCACGCCACACGTCACTGCCGACGCCGCCGCCACCAGCCAGAACCATGCACCGCCGCCCCTGCCACGTCCACTTCCACCGCAACCACCGCGACCACCACCACCGCCACCACCACCAGCAACAACAACTACAACAACAGGAGCAGCAGCAACAGCGGCAACCACAGCAGCAACAGCAGCAGCAGCAGCAGCAGCGTTAACAGCGGCAACAGCACCAACACCAACACCAGCACCAGTGGCAGCAGCAGCCCACCCCAGATTATATCCAACCTACGACCACTGCCTCTGCTACCACTGCCAGTGGCACCACTACTCGTGCTACGGCTGCCGTCGCTAACTCCGACTGTTCACTGTTCCTCCTCCTCATCCTGCTCTTTACCCTTTGGGCGTGACGCCTCTGCCGCCGCCGCCGCCGCCGCCGCCACCACCACCACCACCACAACGACAATGTGCCGAATAACAGTTAGTTGATGCGGATTCTGGAAGTCTTGTGAAGTTCAGCCAGACAGGCTTGGAAAAAGACAGCAGATCGTCAAATCTCCGCTCTTCCGCCCTGGAGGCTGTGGCCCAGCGCCATCATGCCCCATGGCCTGTCAGAAAAAGATCAAAAAGGCCAGCGACACTAGCAAAACTTGAAGCGAAGGTCTTGAACAAAGTGCAAAGCTCCAACAAGCTGAAGAGGCAAATTCCATAATAATCTGCACATTTGCAGGTCAGAAAAAGTACGCAGCATATTGATGTTCAGAAAGATGCTAAACTTACATAAGTAAACAGTAAACTTAAACCTGACCGAAACAAACGCTGGATGCCATTTTGGCAAATTCACGCTACAAGCCACCCCCCCCGCTTGCAGCGCCAATCCGCATTGGATCTGCTGGTATGCTACGAGATTGCGGTCAGCCAACAGATCTCTCTGTACGTTACAGCAAGTGGCATGCCTGTGAAACTGTTAAGCAGCTGATTCCTGTGCACCGCGCCTTGGACGAAGATTCCTGAAGAAGCACAGGCACAGGCAGTAGTTGTCAGATGACGGTCCTCACATGCACCTGCCTGCTGTGTGTAAACTGCTCGAGCATAGGCTCATCTAAGCACAAGTCATCACAACACTTTGTAAGAATTCAATCTCGTTTTTTGTGTCGGCATGTCTTCCTTAGGTCCTCAAGTATGCTGCAGGATGCTGCAGGCACCCCTCGCCGTCCCCCGCCCCAGAATAGCCTCCGACACCGGTATCCGTGAGCTTGCGCCCGGATCCAGCCACGGTGGCTCAGCGTAAGGGACCTCCTGCGTGGCTGTCAATACGAGCTCGGTAGCAAAGTAGCCTGAACATATCGCACCTCTAGATTCAGCAGGGCATAGGTGAAGAGCCTTGAGCTTCTTGTCTGGCTTGGAAATTTGATGTGGAGTTGTGGCACATGTGCGAGGTTCCCAAGCAGGCAAATGGATGGAAAAGGCACCTGACGATACAAAAGCGGTGGTGCTGCGCGAGCGCCCCGGCGCGGACAACAAGCCAGAAGACTACGCCCAAACCTGAGAGCGATATCGACGGGCTTTGGCTTTGAAGCTTTGTCAGTTTGAAGCGGTCGTCTTGCTGTTACTTTGGAGATCGGTATGTACGGGTGGGCGTCTGAACACCTGAGACATACTGTGAGTTTGTTGACTTGTGGCTTTCGAAGCATCTATTCGAAGCTCCGACATGCGCGAAAGGTCTGGGGTCTCCTCCTCGAAGCACTGCATTTGCACTCGATTATACTCTAGATTCGTAAGCTGAAGCCCTACACGCGCCAAAGTCAAGGCCCCACTTAAGGACAGAAAGCATCAAACTCAAACCTGAAATCCCAAAACCTCTCTGACGCATTCGGCTTTTGAATGGGTCTGGCGGAGACGGGGAACCTTGTTTCTCTTAACTCGACGTACCTCCGCGGCCGCATGAATGCTTCAGCACATTTCGAAATCACAGGAGCCAGTGCAGCGACTCCAACGTGGCAAGTCCCAGCTGCACCAGGCCCCACGTCCTCAGTGCTTGAGCCTCTCCTCCTGCGAGGAGAAGAACATGGGAAATGGGGCTTGAAGGATGGAGGGTTTGTAGTGTGCAGGCACATGCTTGCAAGCTCTACAGCCGACAGAAGAAGAGTCAGGTCAGGACAACAGAAAATGACATGCGGCCAAGGCTCAAGAAGGCCATGTACAGCAGGAATACCTGCCACGGATTCGGAGTTACACTCCCCAGTAGCGCCCAGGCGCACAAGCAACCAATTCTGTGAGGCTAAAGCTTCAAGGCAGAAGATCTACTGGATCCACTGGAGTTCACCCAACAGCGCATCAAGATTTTGAAGTTGAACGACGCTTGCGACGCTCGGATTCCTGAAATTTCAGGAAATTCTTGCGTTTTCTTGCCCAATCGAAAGCATGGCAGGGGACCAGCAGATCAGCTGGCTTCCGTTGAACTATGCCCACCTGCAAGCGCTGCGAATGAAATGCCTCAAGTCCCAAGTCCATGTCTGCACATGTTGTGAAGACTACCCCGTGGATGCTACCAGTTCTATTGCAAGGCTTGACGAGTGCGGGTAATGTTCAATAACGAATGCAATGCAAAAGCCCACTTCGCAGCTACAAAGATACAGCAAGGACGGCCATGAGGAGTATTTCACAGTTGGACTTGCAATACCTAGCATGAGATAAACATGCAGCAGGGTATTGATGGCGGAAATAGTAAAACTGTGAAGCAACGATGGCGACTTCTCAAACCAACCTGATGGGGGAAGCTCTCCTCAAGCCAGTCAATTGCCCAGTTCGTCAGCGGGACAAGCTTCTGGTCTGCGTAAACGGCGAAGACCTTCCGGAATATGCAAAATGGCGCGTAATCATGGGCAGTTCCCAAAATTAGGGTCCCTTGTGGTACCCCTGAATAGAAGGTCTCGTATTGCTATGACCAAAATCAAAATTTCAAAACGGGTCCATAGTCTTGATGACAACCCAAATGGGATAAGTTCCCTCTTGGTCCTAGCACGGAATGTACAAGAGAAAAGCATTGAAATTGAGCAGCTGTGTTCCTTCTCAGGCCTAGCTTATAGTCTCCACATTCCTCCATCCAATCGCTGAACCAAACTACCACAGCAAAACGAGAGAAACTAAGAGGGCAAGCCATTCGGGCATACCTGAAGAGCTGCCACGGTCTGATGCGCCACATCTGCCAGAAAGTAGCCCAGCTCTTCCTCACGCAGGGGCAGATGCGAACAAGCTTTGCCAAGTCCAATGAACTGACCCTTGACCTGCTCATACGACATGCTGGCTGACGTCCACCACCTCGAGATTCAAGGGCTTTTTCTGAGAGGCTTGGGACAAGAAGCATCTAGGGGGGAAGAGGGTTCTACTGCAAGCATCCACAAAATCACCAGATGGAAGTGGGACCGTCAAACTTGCAACTCAATCGCCTGCAGCTACTCCTCCTGGCAGAAACCTTACCTGTTATCCTGCATACCGCGCTCTCCCCCTCCCACCCCCGTTGGACGCCAGAGAGATTCAGAGGCCTCAGGCCGCCATACCCGACCCCACTTCCAAGAATCCTTGTGGCCTCCCCGGTGCATAACCTTGAGGAGAACCCAAGGTTTTTTGGACAACAGTGGCATGGATTGATGGGAGCACTACCCAAATGCACTTGTGCCATAGCCTGAACACCAACATGCAACAGGGCCGAAGCGGAACTGAGGCACTGCTGTCATCTATCTTGTGTTTAGCTTGCGCTGTCCACCTGAAACTTGAGGCAGCGTCTGCTCACTTGCATCAAGTTGACTGTTGCGCCTTTCCTGACTTTCTAGAACCGTAACCTGTACTCGATAGAATTGCATGATGACGCAAAGCTTTTAACTTATAACGCTGCACCCAAGCTGGCCTCTTTTGTTTGGAGCTGTGCTCAGACGATATGCAAGTTTGGGTGTTGCTTTGAGGCATGTTTTCCTTGGGATCCCAGTCCTGACTGGCGCCCAGGATGAAGCAGAACAAAGCCAGGAACCGTCTGAAGATGGCCAGCGCCGGGTACGCCAACCTTCTGGGGTCCGAGAGTAATGTTAACGTTAAGAGCTCTTGACCTATATCCGTTTACTGCCTAAAGAAAGATGCCAAATTCCCTAGGCTCCGCAGAACGGGCAAAATGGCCCACCGAACAGGTAAATCACACACGTCTGTCAGGAAAGTCCCTGAGCCGGCTTTTGCTATGGCAGAAGGATTTCCGGTCGGGTACTGTAAATCAACATGCTCTGCAATGAGCCTCATGCGTACTACTTGATACTACTTGCCTCAGAAACCCGTCTGCTAAGTTCCGCCTCAGTCCCGGTACACTGCCATAGCAGACTCTGGAAAACATGAAGGAAAGCGCTGGAGGGATAGCTCTGCAACGTACTCATGCTAACGATGGACAGCGCCAGAATCAGTTGAAGGGCGGCACTGCACACAATCCGCCTCTCACTTCACATCTTATCCCTAGCAAGCACCGCATGCTCACCCAGCCAAGGTCAAGCGCCAACCTCCACGCAATTGCCCACAGCAGGCTCACAATGTCGGACAAAAAAATGAAGTACCTGGCGCTCAACTGTATGTGTGTGTTTCCGCATCCAGCTTACTGGCACGCATATTGCCATGCCACACACACACACACTGAACTTGTCGGATCTTTCAAGACTGATAATCCCACCTCAAATGTGCTGAAACTGTTAAGCCTTCAACCTGGCATGCCCAGCCAGCACAATGCTAGGGCCGCAAGGGCCTCTAGGGTATATACAAGATGATCCACTGAGTCACACTCATGCAAACAACAAGGTCAGGCATCTAAACCACAAACATGACAGGACCACAAAACCAGCAATCTTAACAATACCAAGTTACCAAAAACAAGAACCCGACTATCAAAAGCAATGAACTTAACAACACACACGAGGAATCAAACACAACACTCAGAAAGGTTCTGGATTCTCGTAATAGTTGTTATGCTTTGCTCTTTCGTTTTCTGGATTTTGGTCTTCCTAAGATGAGCTGGCAAAGCACCCAAAGATAAAGTTGAAAACCAGCCAGGGTAAAGGAGAAGGCATTGGGGCGAAGCGTATGCTTCGGTTTTCGCTTCCGAGCATGGTCCATGTTACAACCTTCCTGCAACCTCCAAAGAATGGGACGGTAATCCATGTGCCAAGATAAACCAGCACAGAGAAGCAAAATTCCAACAACACCAAAGAAGGGTTTTGCTTGTAGAGTCCGCTCCGTAAAAAAATGGAAAATCCTCAGTCACGGTCCCCTCTAGCTGACTGCGAAACTTCTGTAACCTACTTGCCCTCGCCGCCTATCCTCAGATACCTGTCGTCCTCTAGGTGTACACACCAGTTCGGCTGATTCAAACTTGACAAAGGCTTGGGCAGCTGCAGATTCAAAGGAGTAAGGCAAAACCAAACATGCAATTGGCCACAGCGTCTGCACCAGCTCGACTGTGTCCCACAGCATTTCAGCTGACACCAGAGGCCTCACGAATTTGGAGGCGCACTTGAGACTTGAGACTCACAATCCACAGCCAGCAGTTGTTACGGAACAAAACGCAGCTGCTTGGGGCTACTTGTAGTAGCCGAAGATGCTGTCACAGCCCCCTTGCCTCTTCTCCCACCGGAAAGCTATTCTTTTGCCAGCCGCTTTGGCATCCTGACATGTAAGATTTTAGGAAGCCCAAGCCACGTTGGCACGGTGGAGACTATGTATCCGAAATGACTGTCCGCGAAATGCCCTCAAGCATGTCTTGGTCAGCCAGAAGCTCGTCCCCGTGGAGGTGGGCCGTAGCTGCATGGACTGTCCTCGGCTTCGTGGCCCCATGCTGCAAGACTTGTGGCTCCGGATTTCAACATGTACGGCACGACCTCAAAGTGCATGCGACAGCCGTGCAATGACCGCTTTATGTGATGGATGCCCGTTCGGCCGCACATTGCAGTCATTCCAACGCTGCGTCTCTAAAGTGACTTCCGGGCGTCAACAGCAGCATGCATGGGGCTGCACACCCCAAGACAGGCATCCGCCGCAAGGTCTTCATGAGAAGCTGCAGGGTGCAATGCCAATCATGCTTGAACTTGTCTGCCTATGCTTCGGCATGCTGCCCAAAACGGGATGTCATTGTCAGAGAGAAACAGGTACGCTGACCTGGGAACTGCCAAATGACTTGATCAAAAGGTAAGCCCTCGAGCAATGTCTTCCAAGTTGTCATGCCGGTCATTCAAGGTACTCCAAGACATGCAAAGAGATCTGCCAGTAAACTGGCGGTCAACGCACATGCTATCCGTTGTCTTTGTACCAAACATTGTCTTGGCAATTGGTTGCAGATAGGGTCAGGCGCGTGACATGTGAGGACTTCGCAGCGATGGTTGTGCCACAGCCATATTGAGTAAACAGCTGCGGTCTCGTGCTTGTCAGAGACATGGAGAAATTGCACCTCGCACATTCCCCCCGCAAGTTCTCATAACTGTCAGAGGAGGGTCGGACTGCAAGGCTAGTTATCTTCCAAGCTTTGCTTGCTTGCAGCTGCTGCTGTCACTCCTGCCGCCATTGCTGCAAAACTGAAGCGATGCACAGAGCAACTGCAGGTCCTGACCTCAAACTACGTGGACACGTCATGAACAGGACCCTTTCTAACCCAGGAAAGCTCTGCCAACTCCGAGTACAGAGCCAGGGATGCAGGTGAAGAGTGCCCTCAGCAAGGATCTGCACTGCCTGCGGGCAAGGAAATACTCTGCTTACTGCTTGCAAGCAGCTTTGAACTGCCTACGGCCGGGTAGAAAACGTTGACGATGCATAAACTTATGCGAACCATCCTCAGGACCGAGGAATCATGCGACGAAGGCCACGAGACCACCCATTGCATAAACAACTGCAAAGCTGCATTATCTTGGAACCACCATAACTTTTAGGTTCGCGTTTAGAAGTCAAGCCATCAACTGTCTGCAGGCGTCTGAGTAGGGTTTGGAACGCGCATCCGATTACAAATAGCTCAAAGGGCCAATACTTACTTCTCTCTGAAACGAGACGTCGACGTGCACATCCGACTTAGCATGCTCCTTATCAAGCTTGTGCGTACCAACACCAGCTTGCCCAAACAGTTAAACAGGCTGCTGCAACTAGTCCCTTCTCAAGGCCAAAAAGTCTTTTCCGCAATTCCGTCACTCCTTGGCGATGCTTGCCTCACATTCAACTTGCTCGAGCTTGCTCGTGGGGCGCTGCCCGAATGTACATGACTCTACTCATGAACGTTTCCGTATGGCACATAGCCCATGCAGTGCTCTATGAAATTCGGTCTGGGTGGATTTGCTGTAGCAGTACGCATTGCATCCGGGCAAGGTGGAGCGTGAAGTCTCCTTTGTCTGGAGGTCTTGAATGTTCGGTACGCGGGACGCCAAGCCCAACACCTATAACTTCTCTTGCCATGATGTCCTGAACGTCCCACTTCCTTCTGAAGTCTCCCAGGTCTGAGGCAAGCACATGGCTTCCTTCGCCTGCTCTCGAGCAGGTCCTGAAAGCCGGCAGCTCTTGATGAGTGGCAACGGATGGCTTCCAACAAGGAATCTGTGCACGTCAGCCTACTGAGAATGTCTGCGCAGCATCAGATGTATCTGCAATATTGAGGTTCCAATCGCCAGCTGATCTGGTTTTACAGGTTGCAGTGGTTTAGGCCAATCAAAGTTGTCCTTATCCTTGAGCACTTACTAGGAGGACATTCTTTGTAAAGTAGGTACTGGCGAACGCCACAACAAGCACGACTTGAAGGCAAGCGCGGTAGTCTTGAATTGCAAAGTCGTCCCGCTAGGATCGCTTGGGGAGTACCTCGTCCACGTGTTCGAAGTTTCTTGGCACATTGAAATCTCTTCACATGGCTTTCATACAGAGAATTCTTAGCCGAAAGCAGCTTGGCTCGATCGGCAGGTGTGGCATGGCAATTTGTCTTGGTAAAACCTTTGAAGGTCGTAAGCCACGAAACAAATCTCTTTGCCTTCTGCGGTTTCTTCCCATGCCATTGACTTCCGTTCCTTCGACAAGCCCATTCACAGGCCTCACTGCGAAAGACTTTCTCCTGATCTCATTGGCAACACACAACTCGCTGCAAAAATTGTCAATCAATGTGAACTGTATAAATGCTTCGTGTCCTATGTCTTGGTAAGGACTAGCATTTGAGAGCGACGATCGGCCCTCCCAATGACTGAGAAATCGCAGGCCTTCATGCCTGAAATCTCTGCCTAGCCTGAACCACAACCACAAATGGGGCCCGAGCGCTGTGATCTTCACGTCGAGTTCACAGCGAAACCTAAGCTCGTTTGCAGATTTGGGATTGGGCCGTGCCGAAAAAAGAATGGATTAAGGGAATCCTTGTCTAAAGTGTCACTTCCAAAGGTTGTCGTTCCAGATCTTTAGAGACTTGATTTCAATGCCTCTCATGCAGGCCACTCCTTACCAGCCACTATCCGGCTGTGCCCCGAAACCCGGCGCCTTTTGAGAATTACAGCCGAAAAAACTGCTACATGCCCTGTGGAACGGGGAGGGGTCAACCGTGTCGGCTCCATGATCCATGCCCCATGGCATCTATAGATTGGAGCAGGGCATATGAAACAAACGTTCCTGCGAGCTTGTTCCATACCCAAAAATGGGAACCTTGATATGATGCGGCCGTAGAATGGGGTATGCCAAAGGTGATAGATATGGTGAAGAACAACTGCCTTGGCTTTTCATGGATGAAGAGCTTGTCCAGGCTCGAAACTGGATTTCTTTTCGGCTGGAATTTGCCCAGTGTGTAAGGGCGTTATGCTTAGGGCGCAATTGTGAAGGTGCGGCATCTGCTGTGAGGATCGGGTTACGGCCTCGCTTCTCAGTTGTTCGTTGTGCATTGCAGGCCTGTTCAGAGTCGAAGCTTCAGGGCTCTGCAGCATATATAGCTATGTAGCGGCCTTGTTTCGGGCTTCTTTTGATGAGAGATTCTGTTCTCCTGCGCTGGATGCTGTAGCTTATCCTATTGCCCCAAGACATTCAAAGCTTACGCACTGCGTCCCGATAAACCTCAGCTTGCAACCCTTCAAAACATTCTCCCCACGCACTTCCTTGCACCCTGCACCTGGAACCTATCTCTGGTGAATCTGCCCGAGGAAGATAAGCAAGCATTTGCAAGATCCGTATATGACAGCCACAGACATGATTATGGCAGACGTTTTTTGCACCACCGTGCTCCATCCGTGTCCTTCGCTTGCGGAACATGCTCTGCGCGTCCTGTGCGGGATCAATACTAGCGGTTGTGCTGAGAGTCGTTTGGCCTGGACGGGCCGCAGTTTCGACTTTCAACAGTAGGAGCAGTTTGGGACTCTTGCTCATTGATTGTGCTTGTTTGTATGACACAATGATAAGCTCGACTATCAACGATCACAATATAGAGCGAATAGTTCCTCAAGCAGAATCATAACAGTCCCTGCACGGAACAATGCGGAAGCTCTACATTGAAACAATTCCAAGAAGGTCCTGCCTTAGTTGTAACTATTACAAGACAGATAGCCCATGCCTTCTACGACCACCTCGAGCCACTTTCCCGAACTTGATTTCGAGGCTCGAGCACAGGGTGGGTGAGGGGTCGGTTATGATCAGAAATCCGCATTATAAAGCTGCACATCATTGGCAGTAAGGCAAGCTAGACAAGGGTCAGAGGAAAAATCGCAGGAATAATTCTGCAGATTAAGCACCTAGAGTCATCAGAAAAAAAGTGGGGCAGAGCACGTGATGCAACATTCGATTGGAAATGCTTGGACATTGAACCGCCCGACCTTTGCAATACTTAATGACCAACTCTCAGCAGACTGGAAACGAGGGTCCCAAATGCCCTTCATAGCCAAACCCTTCAACACAACAGCGCCAAGGCACCGCGCGCCGTTGCTGACGTTTTGTGGCCTTGAAGCTCGTCATGTCAGAACAGGCCGGTAAGGCAGGTTTGAGAGAAGGCCCCTCTACTCGCTTTGGTAGCTTGATTTTGGTCCACTGACGAAGCAGGTTGGTTGGCCACCTCTAGGTTCAACCAAAGAACACACACACACACACTTCTCTCTGCCCATGTGGGATCTTTGTGTGCCACGGGTCTGCGTGGTCACGCCTACATTGCTTGTAAATACAGCATATCCACGTGGTGGAAAAAAGTGTCTTTCCAGAACTCGTGGGCTCATGGCTAGTCCGTGTCAGGAGCTTGAGGGACAACATCTCCAGCCATTGATTAGAAGAAAGGGATATTGAGCCACGGCTGACTGCTTTTTGTGCAGCTAAAGCATGGTGTGCCCTAGTGACCGAACGCATGGGATGCCACATGCTCAGATGAATCAGTTAAGCAATTACTGCGCATAATGAAGTTCTTAAGCTGTTCTGCAACCCAAGTCTTCAAGTCACCTGAGAGTTCGAACGATCCGGCTGCAGCTCTTGATTGACTTCTTCTCGAAAGCCATCCTAAATAACCCTTCCATGTGCCCAAAATGAAATCGTCAGAGTCAACAAACTTGCCACCAAAATTTCTGGTGCCCTGCTAGGCAAGACGGGGCGCGTCCACGCTTGACTCCGCTTTGCGATTCCTGAATTCTAGCCAGCATTCCTATCGCTGGGTGACCCCCTCATTATTGGAGGGGATGCGGTGTCTGAGTTTGGTTGCTTTGTGTGTTGCGTCTGGTCTCTGCAGCTAGCCCGGCTTGTTTAACTGAGTTGCACATTCCATTCTGTCAAGCTTTCAGGCTACCAGCCAAGATGGCTTTGGGAAAATTTAAGGTCCAATGCCAATTATAGTTCTGTCTTGCCTGAGTTGCGATGTTGATTCTCGAAAAATCTCGATTACTCCACCCTCCCCTGATGTTGGCGGCAGCCTGAAGAGTCTCTGGGCTCCACCATGAAAGCCCCACTGCAGCCCTACCGCTTGCGCAAAACCAACTACTGTAGATCTGCCCAAAGCCGTGCTGGGTGTCATCTTCAGGCTCCACCTGCCTCACTTTTCAGGCAACTGCAATCGCAATACCCTGACTCTGAATCCAGAAAAACCCCCCATCTTCAGCCGACTTGCTGACGAGCAAATGCGCTCACATCGACAGCACGACCGCCCTTCTTGACTCCTGGTTGTGTCTTCGAAGAATGGAGGGCAGCTTTGTTACTTGGACTGGCAACCCTTTTCTCCTGGGGGTGAGGGTCAATGACGATGGCTTCCAAATTCAGGCGGGCATGGGCTTCTTGGCCGTCACTATGCCAACACGGTGATTGAAGAATTGCAGATTGAATCACACACTGCTCTCTCGCGCGGAAGGGCAAGCGGCAAGCCCTTAAAAAGTCAAATACAAGCCAGGAAGAAAGAACGACCGAGAAAATGAACAACGCAGAAAAGCAGAAAAGCAGCAACGACCGATTGAAATGGCAGACGATAAGCTGAGTACCACAAAACGACCCGTTCAGGTAAGCAAAGAAGAAGAAAGGAAAGAACGATAGAAAACAAAGAGCCAACGGAATAAAGAGATGAAGAAAGAAAGAAGCAAGGAAACAAGCACGGAACTTTTGTTCTGGACGTTCTATTTGTTTCCCATTATTCTCGGCAAAACCCAAGCGTGTCTCTAACATAGAATAGACTGTTCATTCTTTGTTGAGTCCTACTTGTTGTCTTCTGGGAATTTAAGCGCGTTCCATATGCAGTTTCTGCAGGAAAGCGCCTTTTCATGTGTTTTTTGAAGCCTTGTGTTCTTTGAGCTCTGAATTTAGTTTGTTTGGATGCCATTTGTTTTTTTGAGCCTCACCGACCTGTACACAGCAGACCATGCGAGGATA